ACTCCTGCAACCATGGCCGCCACCGTCCTGATCTGCTTGGGTGCGGCGTCGGCTATGCCGCTGACGGTGGCGCCGTGCGCCGCTGAGGGGGTGAAGCCAGCCGTCTGGAGGCGGGTCATCCGCCTGGCCCCCACTGCTTTTTTGACATCATGGACCGCCTCACTCGTCGTCGGAGCTGCTCCGGTCGATCAGCTTCCTGGCGTCGTCTGGCACGCGCGCCCCCTAACTCATGTCCGAGGTTGCGAACCCATGGTAGCTCCGTGACACGACGAGCCCGCGCGGCCCACCGAAACCTCTGCGCGGCACGGCTGGATGAGGCCACGTAGCCGAGCTTCTTGATCTGGATGGGCAGCTTGCGGGACTCGAGCTCGTGGGTGAGCTGGTCGACGCCTTCGCATAGCTCCGTCGTGCTGCGATGCTCGGGTCCAGCCCATTGGAAGGTCACGTCGTCCACCAACTGTCTGGGCTTCAGCGCGAGGCACAACGCCGTGACCCGCAGCATCGCCCTGTGCATGAGTACCGCCAGCAGCGTGGTCGCTTGTGAGCACCCTGCCACGATGTCTTGGCACGATGTGTAGTGGTCGCTCTCGCTGCCGTGGGCCCGAACGACTCGTGGCTGGCAGTGCAGGTGGACCAGTAACCACGCGAGTCGTGGTGGAAATCCGACTGCATTTGCCTCCTGCACCAGAACAGCTGGTGCCACCAGTTCAAAACATTTGAGTAGGTCTACCATGGTGGTGATCGCGTCTTGCTTCCTGGCCAGTGCGATATCCGTGGACAGGTTGTGGGAAAAGGCGGAGGCAGACGAGCTCCTGGCTGGGCCTAACCCCCAGGCGTGCTCTGCTCGGTGGGCTGCTTCCCACTGGGCGGCCAACGGTCTCCGTGCACGACTCTACAGGCGGACCACCGCGTTGAGCGGCCCAATCAATATCATTCCTCCTCCAACCTTGGGTAACCTGACCAAGACCGTGACGATGCGTTGCGGCGGCCATCCAAGGTGGTGCTCACAGGCATGGAATAGCAGTGATCTTGCCAAGAGCGCTTCATCGGAGAGAACGCCCGACTGCTTCGGGTGGAAACTCGTTTGGCCAACGGCTGTGCCCAGCTTGAAAGAACGAGTAGCCCCGCGGAGGTCCTGCAGGGTGAGATGTGGGAGATCTGGCCAATGTTCAGCACCAGGGGGCAGTGGCACCGCGCCGAGCTGGCGGTGCTCCCAAATGGCGCCGAGCTCGGTGTTGGTAAGGTCGCGCGGGCGGCCGATGACGTTGGCTCGAGGGACTTCGACCTCCTGGTTCGGCTTGGCGAATCGGTGGGCAAGCCCTGCACCTCCTGAGAATTCCCTATCTCGCCCAAGTGGTCCAGGCGCGGGTACACTTCGCCTCAGCCCCCGCTGTGGGCTGCTTGGCCTTTGCGATGGCGCCCTGCAGTTTGGCCTCCACGGTGCTGCGCGACAACAGCTCTGGGCCAGATTGCATCAACTCACGGGCCTCCTCATCTAGCTGCCGGAGGATGTGCTGCTGCTTGCTGATGCGATTGCAGAACTTCTCAAAGGCGATGAGCTCGGCCGCCAAACTGTGGATCCACTTACGATGCTGCAAGCCGTGGAAGACCATGCCTCGTGCGGCTCTTGGAGGACGTGGAGGGGGAGCGCGGCCTGCTCGTTCGCCTGAGCGTTGGTCCAGCCACTGCCGCTGCTGCTCAAAGGCGCGTAGGCGCATGTCGACCGCCTCTGCCCACTCCTCCTGGGAGCTGTCTCGTAGCTGCTGTAGGTGGGCACGGTAGCGCCTGCGGCTTCGGCTGCCAGGGCGGTCGGCCTCCTCGCACATCCCCCGAGCCCGCTGCCACCTCCTGGCACCGCGAGGGGGTCTTGATCCCAGTCGCCCTCGTCCCACAAGGCGTTGAATACTGGGCCGCGCAGCTGCTCGGCTGTGTACGGTACACACCGCTCCATCCAGTCGTGGAGCACTTCTTGCTCGGTCTACTGGTTATTGAGTGGGTCTCTGATCCAATTCTGAGTATATCTGTTGAGCTCCCGTTGGCAGGCTGCCTGGAGTACGCGAGCAGCCACTCGATCCGGGTCCTCGCCGCGATCTGCGGGCTGAGCCTGGCGATCTTCGTTGTAGCTCACCTCGGCGATGTCGCCACCAGGCCCATGGGGGTCACCAGCCACCAGCCCGCTCTGATGGTATTCCGCATCCAGCAGCGGCGGGTGGAGCTCACGGTGCAGGTCCTGGTCGTCTAGCATTGCGTTGAGCTCGCCGTCGAGGTCCAGCTCCCCGTCCACGGTACTCAGCATCGGTCCGTGCGCGAGGGCATCGGCTACCCCGCTGCCGTGGGCCTCGCTCGGTCTTACAGGGGGGGGGGGGGCATCGGGGCGAGCGACGCAGCGCCTCTCCAGGCCGCCAAGGGGAGCGGGTTGTGCGAGGGCATCGGCCACCCCACCGCCGCGGGCCTCGCACGGGCCTACATGGGGGGGGGGGGGGGGGGGCGGTGGGGCGAGCGCCGCAGCGCCTCACCATGCCGCCAAGAGGAGCGGGTTGTGCGAGGGCATCGGCCACCCCACCGCGGTGGGCCTCGCTCGGGCTCACAGGGGGGGCGACGGGGCGAGCTACACCTCACCAGGCCGCCTTCGGCACCTCCGTGTGGGAGGGCATGGGCCACCCCACCGCTGTGGGCCCCGCTCGGTCTTACAGGGGGGGCATCGGTGTGAGCGATGCAACGCCTCACCAGGCCGCCAAGAGCATCCTCCTGTGCGAGGGCATCGACCACCCCCCGCTGTGGGCCTCGCTCGGGCTTACAGCAGGGGGGGCGACGGGGCGAGCGTCGCAGCGCCTCACCAGGCCGCCAGGAGCAGCATCATGTGCGAGGGCATCGGCCACCCCACCGCGGTGGGCCTCGCTCGGCCTTGCAGGGAGGGCGACGGGGCGAGCGCCGCAACACCTCACCAGGCCGCCAGGAGCATCTCCGTGTGTGAAGGCATCGGCCACCCCACCGCTGTGGGCCTCACTAGCAGCGGGCCCTTGCCCCTGGGCACTCGGGGTGCGGCTGCTCTCGCCGTGGTCCTGTGGGATGTTGAGCTTGGCCACCGTCTTGGTCACATACTCCCGAACCTGCATGACGCGCTGGGCCCACCTGGCCGCTACACTCCACGCGGTGACGTCGGGGCCATGCAGGGCCCGCATGGCTGAAGGCCGCCACTGGAGGTGTCGCATGCGCTGCTGGACTGGGCCTTCTCGGCCTACGTAGTGCTGCTTGCGTGGGCCGACGATGTCGCGCCTGCCCGCCAGCTCCTCCCCCATGCCTCGTATGACCAGGTCCCATGCTGTAGCCAGCTGGGGCAACGTCTGCGCCTGATCGATAGAGAGGTATACCTGACCCCAGCCATGCCAAGGAAAGCGAGCGCACCCCACGTGCGGTTGCCGAGGAAATGGCCTCGGCTCGTCCAGCTCGCGGGCGATCGGCGCCTCGGTGTGCTTGGCGACAGTCAGCGTGGCGGGTCGATGCGGCCAATTGATGGCCGACTGCGAGAAGTCCACCTCGAACGCCACACCGTGGAGCATGGGCCCGTCGACGAGAAAATAGTCCAGCGTCGTGGCAGGCACCGCCTGCATGCAAGTCGGCCCCCGTGGAGCCACGCACCTGGCGTTGGCCAGTGGGAGCCAGTCGTGCCCCAGCAGCTCCTGCGGTGACATGTTGAAGTCGCCGCCGACCACCCACGCTAGGCCAGGTCCTGCTGCCGCTCGCTTGACATACCCCACGACTTGCCACGCCAGCGCCAAGTTGCGGGGCGACCTGCCCCCCCCCCCCCTGTGTGGAGATAGAGGGCCGCCGCCACGAAACCGCCAGGCACTGCAGCATGGGCATGTGCAGCCACGGCTCTGCCAGGCACGATGGTGCCATAGTCCAGCAGGGGCGCCTGGGTGACGGTGATGTCGGTCTTGGCCAAAACGGCCACTCCGCCTTCCGCGCCTCCGGCCGCGGTCTGGAGCGCGGGGCGCCAGACTCCTCGCCAGCCCGCGCCCCGGGACCCCCCCTGCATCTCAGGGAGCTTCTCGTCGGGAGGCGAAAGACGTGCAACCCCAGATGCGCGCGCAACCTGGGGTGAACATTCCTCGGGAAACTACATGTGCAACCCCGGGTGAACCCCCTGAAAAACTATACGTGCAACCAGGGGTAAAGGTTCCTTCCTACGTCGAAAAACAACGAGCGAAATATGTGCAACCACGCATGAAGGTTGTCAAAAAACGAAATAAATGCAACCCGGGGCGACGGTCTCGTGGCAAGGAAAACCCGCGCCCCAGGTTGAACTCACAGCTGGGGTTGAACGTTTTTAGCTCTCTGATTTCGGCGCGCGCGGTGCTCCTGTGCGATGGCCACGTCGCTGGTGCAGTCGACCAGGTACTTGGTCAAGGTGCCAAATGAATTGGCACTCGCTGTGGTAATCTGTAGGTTAGTTCTCGTCATGGTCGGTAATACGAGGCCCTCATATTGCGCGTGGCTTCTTGACGGCCTTCCACTTGGGCTTGGCCAAACGGATGCGCTTGACGGCAGCCCGCAGCTCTTCCTCTGAGGCGAATGCAGCACCAGGGAAATCAGCGCCAGACCCACGCAGGAAATCTCGAACCTTTTCAGCAGAGGCCTGGTTGACCGACTCTTCCTCCTGGACCTCCTCTGCAGCCTCGCCCATGGCTTCGTCCTGATGCTGCTCCCTGGCGGCTTGGGCGGTGGATTCTGCGGCGCGCCTGTCGTCCTCCCCCCGCTGAGTTTGGGCCTGCTGCTGCTGGTCGCGTCGGTGCTGGCGGAGCTTGCCCACAGGCGTAACCACCTCATGTGTGTTGTATAAGATACAATGAATTTTTCGGGCCTCCACCTCTCACCCCTTCCCCCCCCCCGACCTTTACCTTGGACATCGGGGGGGGGCGGGGGGCAGCAGATGCGCCGTCTGTATAACGTGTTATGCATGTGTTCTCCGTCTCAAGTTCTTTGGGGCTCAAGCGTTCATGCCCATTTCGCTTGAGCTCGAGTCAGTGGGCTCGACTTCTCCATCCCGCGCGGGCAGTGCGATATCTTCTGCTGGCTCGTCCTGGGAGCTGGTGGGCTCTGGGTGCGGGGAGCTCCCTTTGTTCCTTGCGGGGCAGGCGCCGTGCCTGCCAGAGGGCGGGGGTCGAATCCTCGCGACGGCGCGCTGCGGCGGGCCGCTCCTGGTGTTCCTCTGGACGCTCGTGACCGTGGTCCGTGACCCGCCGAGTCCTGAGGAGGACCCGCTGGAGGGTGAGGACTTCACGCCGGAGCGGGTGATGCCAGTGGAGGTATGGAGCAGGCGCTACTATCGCCGGAGCGCGACGGATGGCCAAGAGATCTTCTTAGTTCGACGGAAGACTGGGAATTGCTGGGCGGCCTTGCTGCCCGATCTTTCCATGGGCACCATCACGATCACTGCGAAGACGACTGTCTTCTCCGATCCCGTGCCCGGGATCCGCTGGCAAGCGCTGCCGGCACTCACTCAGGTGCAGAAGAACAGCTTCATGCAGCAGGCGACGGACGGGCTGCGAGCGGGTACTATTCCAGCGCTGGAGTTGTATCGACCGGGCCGCCAGGCCCAGCAGGCCGTCGCCATCAACGTGGTCTATGCTATGGCCAGCTCGGCACGCTCTTCACTGCGTACGCTGCGGTGGGCTTTGCGCTCGCCGTATCGTGTGTTGGGGCTGCTGGCGCTGGGCTTCGTGCTGTTCGAAGCTCTGAAGTACCTGGGGGTGGTGGATATGATCGTGGAGACTTGGCTCGCGTTTGTGAGCTGGATGGTGGCCTGCCGGGACGCGCTCATCGAGTCGTCCGAGACGATCCAGGAGTGGGTGTCCTACGGAGGCGAGTGGGTGGACTGGGCTCGGAAGCTTATGCCGTTGCGTCGCTGGGCTGCTCTACTGTTGGCGCTCATCCTGCTCATGTTCTGGGGTGCCCACGAGATGCAGGAAGGGGAGGAGGCTGGTCACTCATCGGTGGCTTCATCCTCTGCATCGTCCGTGGTCGGAGACGTCGGAGGGGCCGCTGTCGTGGGGCCTCCCTTGCCGCCACCTTCGGCGTCTCCCCATCCCGTCGCGGCTGCCCCCGACGCAGCCCTCGTGGCCCAGTTGGACGACTTAGCCGAGTCTCAGAGGGCGATGGCCGCGGAGCTGAACGAGATCAGGATCGCCGAACGGGCTCGAGAGCTGAGGCGGTCGGCGATGGTGTCCTCGAGCGCGGACCGCGGTGCCGAAGTGGCTGCTGCCAACCAGCTGCAGATCCAGTCCATGCTGAGCCGGCTCGACGAGTTCGAGGCTCGCCTGCAGGGAGGTGCGGTGGCGGGATCTCCTGCGGCAGCGGGGGGACCCTCTCCTGCTACGCCTGTGGGCGCAGGGGACGGTCCCACATCGCCGGCCCGCGGGGACGCGACGGTGCCCGTGGAGACTCCCGACAAGCGTGCTGCTACCGAGCCCGCCGAGGCGGTGTCCTTGGCCATCAAGCGGATGAGGTTCAAGGCTCAGATGCCGCAGCAGGTCTTCCTGGAGCAGCTGGAGGACTTCAAGGAGTGCCGGGCCTCCGAGTGGGCGACGAAGATGCCGGAGGGCTACAGGGAGAGGATCGCGCCGGACGTGCTCTCGGAGGTCTACTCGACCGGGAAGACGGCGGAGGCGTGGGCGAGGGACTACATCAGGGATCGTGGTCTCACCGACTGCAACACCGCGCGGGAGATGATTGCGACCTTCGCGGCCGTGGACACGATGCTCATGACGGACCGCCAGAAGGGGCTCTTGAACCAGGTGAGCTTCGAGAGGCTGGTCCGCAAGGGGTACGCGTTGGTGAGGGCCTACCGCAACGTGCACTGCCGGGACGACTGGAGCAGGCCCAAGGACGCCAAGAGCTGGAAATCCAAGGTCGACTGGGAGGCGGCGCGTCGCTTGGGCCCGCAGCTGGCCGACGAGAGCACGATCAGGGTCATGAGTGCCGAGGAGGAGGTGAAGAAGGCAATGGGTCGAGATGCGCAGCTGATCAAGGCACGCACGGACCTGGACGGCGGGGGTGCGAGCCCGCCGTGAGCCCCGGAGAACGCCACACGGGGCTGACTGGCGAAGGTCCGCCAGGAGCCCCTGCACGCGATCGGCCCCGTCATCGTGGCTGGTCAACTTTTCTCTTCTACTTCTGGTTTTCGAGTCTGTGGGACTTCGGCAAGAGCGTCGGGTTCCAGCAGGTGATCTACTGCACGACGAATTGGGTTATTCATGTCGAGGAGGCGGGACATCCTGTCGGAGGTGGTGCTCTTTCCACGACCGGAGAGGCCAACGTCGAGCTCACGGCGGGTACTTTCACGTTGGCGGGAGGAGGTGGACATTGCGCAGCGGGCCAATCGTTGCTTGCTGGGACTCCGCCAACTTTATCGTGGGACGTTGGGCGACGAGCTCTTGCATCCTGGGGAGATCTGGGGTCAAGGCCCACTGCCCAGCACCATGGACGGGGACCTCTCGAAGCGTGTGCTGGAGGAGGTACGTCGCCTACCACCGCCTCCCTCGACGCCCGAGCGAGGAGCCGCAATCTTGCGGCTGCGACCCGCGGCTTCGGCGGCGGAGAACCAATCCCGGTCGACCTATACCCAGCGGTTGGCCGAGCTGCGGAGGAGGTGTGCTGGTGGACAGGTACGACTGCCAGACCGGGGCGAAACGTTTCCCGCCCATTGGGAGCGGGTCGCTCTTCCTCCTCCGGGCTCAATGCCGGTGAGTGCGAGGTCTGCGTCGCCGAGAGTGGCTCAGATGTTGGACGATTTCGAGAGGGAGATGCTGAAGGAGGATGGCGAGGAGTGCGTCAGGGCCGCGGAGGTGAAGAACTACGTGGACCCGCACTTCCGCCGCAAGAAGGACATGCTGATGCTGGCCAGGCGCATGGCTCTGGCTGGTATGTTGTGCCGCTGCGAGTCAAAGGTGGACGAGGTCGGGCTCTTCTGTGTGGTGAAGAAGGCCGAGATCGTGGACGGCGAGCCCTTGGTGTCATTGCGTTTGGTCTTCGACCAGCGGCGTTCCAACCTACGATGGCGGGCTCCGCCGTGGTGTGCCATGGGCGGCGTCAGTGCTATGTCGTTCTTGGACGTGTCAGAGGAGATGACGGAGGAGGGCGCTCGAATGGTTTTTGGCACTGGCGACCTCCCCGACTTCTACTACACGTTGGACCTGGGCGAGGCGATCGCGCCCTACTTCGTGCTGCCTGGTGTCCGGGCTTCAGAGCTGCTCGACGTTCTCCCCTCGGACGCCCGCCTGAGCGGGTCGGGCGAGCACGTTGGTGTGCGGGTGGCGCTGATGGGTTTCTCGTGGGCCTGCTGGATGGCTCAGACGACTATGGAGGACCTGTTCAACTCTGGTCCCTCCGTGGGCATGCCCGCCCTCGCCGAGGAGCAGCGTCTGGCAGAAGGCGGTCCGCTGCCCCTGATCAGTCGGGAGGTACCTGCGGCCCACTACGAGTACATCGACGACTTCGGCATCATCGGGGTGGACTACCCTCCCGTCGCCGACGCCGAGCCGCCTACGCAGATCAGGGACATCTGGTTGGGAGCCAAGTACCTGGTGAACGCCGCGGGTTTCAACGTGCACAAAGACGACTGCTCGGGACAGGCTCGGATGATCGGTGGAGACTTCGTGGGCACACGCCTCGCCCCGAACCAGGACCAGATGTGGCTGGCCGTGGCCGGGGTGAGCGAGATCCTCAGGCAGAGGTCGGAGTTCCCGGACGCGGTGGCCAAGATCGTGGGTATCCTGTCCTGGGGCTTTCTGATCACTCGAGGGGCCCTGAGCGTTTTCTCGGAGGTCTACCACTGGTGCATGGAGTTCCGAGGGGGCTCCCGCCGTCGGCTGCCCGACGAGGTCCTTCGCGAGCTGGCCGTGGCAGCGGCTGTGGTGCCGCTGGTGTCTGTCGACCTGGCCATGCCCTGGGACCCCGCGGTGACGATGTTCGACGCGAGCCTCTACGGGGGGGCCATTATCTCAGCCCAGGCCGACATCCAGGAGATGCGTCGAGAGGCACGCTTTGCTGTCAGAGGAGGGTGGACCGTCTGGACTGGCATCTCGTCTTCCTGGGCGGCGGACTCTTGGGCAGAAGGCGAGGCGTATCGGCGAGTCGCCGAGGGAGTCGAGCTCGGGATGCGCGTGAGGGTACCTCCGGTGCACGCTTGCTGGGACGACATGTCGAGGTGGAAGGAGGTAGTTCGCTGGCGCTGGGACGAGAAGGAGCACATCAACCTTCTGGAGATGAGGACGGGTTTGGCGGCGGTGAGGCACTCCGCTCGGTCGCGTGCGAGCTGGGGTCGCCGTCACCTTCGCATCACCGACTCCATGGTGTGCCTGGGCGGCTTCAGCAAGGGCAGGTCGGCCAGCAAGCCGATCCTCATCCTGTGCCGCCGGATGGCCGCGATCGACCTGGGTTGCGGCATGAGGGAGTACTGGCGTTGGGTGCCGTCCGACCGCAACCACAGCGACGGCCCCAGCCGGGGCTTCCCGATCGGGCAGGCGCCGAAGGAGCGACTGCAGGGGGAGACCGTGCTGCCCGCCGAGACGGGGCAGGTGATCGAGGAGTTGGCGGACATCGCGGAGGAGGATCCCTTCGCGCCGCTGCGGCTGGGCCGGTCCGTGAGGGTGAAGGTGCTGCGCTTCTTTCACCTCTGCAGCGGCCACACACGGTCGGGCGACTTGGAGTTCTGGCTCGCCCGCCTCGCGGCCGGTCGGGGGTACGTGGTGCAGTGCACGAACGTGGACATCGGGTTCGGGCCCGAGTTCGACCTGTCCGAGGAGGTGAACGTGCGGAGGCTGGAGCTGCTCGCCGAGCTGGAGGTGGATGGAGGCCATGCTGGACCTTCGTGCGCTACGTGGTCGAGGGTGCGCTTCCAGCCTGGAGGACCCCCGCCTGTGCGCCTTCGCTCGCACCCGTGGGGCCGCCCAGGTCTCCATGGCGCCGACTTGAGGAAGGTGGAGATGGGCTCGGCGCAGCTGTTGAGCAGCCTGCGCGTGCTCAGGGCGATCGCCCTCCGAGGTGGCTCAGTCTCGTTGGAGCATCCTGCCGACCCTGGGAAGCCGCCGTTCCCCTCGATCTTCGCAACGCCCGAGGTGCTGGAGTGGGAGGAGGTTCTCGGGGCCTACAGGGTGACTTTTCCTCAGTGCATGTGGGGCTGTCCTGCGCTCAAGTTGACCACTATATCGGGGACAGCCAAGCACCTGGAGCGGCTCATTCGCCCATGTATTCACAAGACGCACACTGCGAGCTTGTGCGGGAAGGACGAGACGGGACGTTTCAGGACGCGGGTAGCTCAGGCTTACTCGTCCGAGCTCTGCCGCGTGCTGGCCGAGTGCCACCTGGACGCCATGCTGGGCGGGTGCGAGCGGCGCGAGGCGGAGTTCACGGAGAGGGCCGTGGAGCTGCTGATCAAGGAGACGCTCGAGCGGAGGCGGCGCAATATACGGGACATCGACGTGCTGCCCGCCTCCTTCCTGGAGGCCTCAGGGTGACCGTCTCCGGGACTGGGCTCAGCGTCATGGCCTGCTGCTTCCTCCCTCGGTCCTGCCACGGGATGCCGCTCGCCGATGGTCGTCTGCGTCACCATTCCCAGGATCGGCGGATGCACGCCACCAATCGACGAAATGAGAGTCAGAGAGCTGGATCCTCTGGCCCCATGCAGACCTCGGAGGCGGGGCTCTCGCTTCTGCCCTACTCGGTGGGGAAGAAGACGGCCCTCAACTGCTACGTGCCCAACGTGCGGCGATTCCTGGAGTTCGCACTGGACCTCGACCTTCCAATGATGAGCAGGGAGGAGATCGACAACTCCATCCTGGTCTACCTAGACTACCTGGTCGAGGACGAGGAGGTGGGCCCGCGCAGGGGCGACTACGTGGTGCACGGCATGGCGTTCGTGTGGCCTGAGCTGTCTACGGGCCTTCCGCGCGCCAACCGCGCCCTGCGGGCGTGGCACAAGATGCACGTTGCCGGCGAGGGTGGGCCCCAGCCGCTCGAGGTGTGGGCCGCCCTGGACGAGGCCATGAGGCTGGCCGGGGCCGTGGAGGCAGCAGACGCAGCAGCGCTGGCGGTCGACGCCTACCTGCGCTCGGCGGAGGTCTTCGCGCTGCGGGTCGAGGACATCGTGGACGCCGACAACGACGTGGTGGCCATCAAGGTTGGGGGTGGTGGTTGTGTGGTGTGTGGGGGGGGTGGAGGTGTTCTCTGGGGGGCGCTGGTCCGGGGGGCGGTGGGGGGGCTTGGGTTCTGGGCAGTGGTATGTGGGCTGTGTGTTGGGGTTGGGGGTCGGCGGGTGGGGTTGGGGTGGGGTGGGGCGGGGGGAGGGGCGGGGGCTTGGGGGTGCGGGAGGGGAGTGCAGGAGCGGAACGAGCGCACCAAGACGGGAGTGAGGCAGGGCGTGCTGATTGATCGCCCGCACATCGCCGACATGCTGCGGGCGCGCAAGGCCGCCAAGAAGCCGGGCGAGCTGGTCTTCGGCTGCTCGGTGGAGTCCTACCGTCGGGCCCTTCGGAAGGCCAGTGACGACATCGGCATCGCCGCCTTCCCCGCCCACTCCGCGAGGCACTCTGGCCCCAGCCACGACGCGGCGGAGGGCTACCGGACGGTGTGGGCCATCCAGCGGCGGGGCCGCTGGGCTTCGGAGAAGTCGGTGCTGCGCTACATGAAGACGCACGCCTTGGTGGCCGCAAGGGCGGCTGTGCCTGCCGCCGTGATGGCTCGTGGCCGGGAGCTCTTGGCCAGACAGGCACCGCGTCCAAAGATGGCGCGAGAGTGAATGCTTTTACTCATTTGATTTTTTGGTTTGGTGGAGGCAGAATGATTTCGGCTGACGTGGCAACCCCGCCCACCCAGAGCCCTGGGCCACATCATCCAGGCGCTGTGCGTATCAGCGGTGGGTTGGGGATTGTGAGTTCAGAGCGGGGCCAACCGCTGTGCCCGTCGCCCAGCCAGCCCGCCTCTGGACTTCAGCAAAGGAAGCCGCCGCTCTCGGCGGCACCCGGATCATCTGTCAGGATCGAAAATCGTCGGTCCATCGCTGTTGCCTCGTGGTCCTGATTTCTGTTGGCTGGCGCCTTTCCGCTGCTCCTGTCTTGGGGTGAGTTTTTCGGTGGTGGGCCTCTAAATGTGTGTTGTATATGATACAATGATTTTTTCGGGCCTCCACCTCTCACCCACTCCCCCCCCCCCCCCCCCCCCCCCCCCCCCCCCCCCCCCCCCCCCACCCCCCCCCCCCCCCCCCCCCCCCCCCCCCCCCCCCCCTCCCCCACCCCCCCCCCCCCCCCCCCCCGACCTTTACTGGCATCGGGGGGGCCGGGGGCATGCACATCCTACGATTCCCTGTTATTGGATATTTCATGTGTTCTCCGTCTCAAGTTCTCCCTGTTCCCTCCCTCCCTTCTTTCGTCTTCGTACTTTTCTGCCTCCTTTCCCGGTATTGGGGATTGTGAGTTCAGAGCGGGGCCAACCGCTGTGCCCGTCGCCCAGCCAGCCCGCCTCTGGACTTCAGCAAAGGAAGCCGCCGCTCTCGGCGGCACCCGGATCATCTGTCAGGACCGAAAATCGTCGGTCCATCGCTGTTGCCTCGTGGTCCTGATTTCTTTTGGCTGGCGCCTTTCCGCTGCTCCTGTCTTGGGGTGAGTTTTTCGGTGGTGAGCCTCTAAACATCTGTGATCGCATTTCCCACAATGAGCTCATGACGACTGTGGGCACAGATTACCTGGGTGCGGTGATCAGTGGGGATTATACTCTAATATGGGTTAGTACCCCGGCTGACTGGTACGTACGAACCCCAGGAAAGAGAGTAGCCCTACACTGGTCGCGCATTCAGAACTTTCTGGCAAAAGCCAAGAAGCCCCGCATGAAAATGATAGTGTTTGGCCCCCTAGGATACGTTTGGAAGTTATCTCCAATACGTGATACTCTGGAAGATCTCAAGTTGACGGTAGTACGTATGCGGTTATTGCATGTCGGTATTAGGTTTAATATGCAAGACAATACACCGAGTGGCACCTATGCAGGTAGCCACATCGATACCGATTAGCTCTCAGTTGTGGGCATGTACGTGCAAACTGGCGATACCACAACATGTATTGGATTGGTACGGCCAAACGGTACGACATGCTGAGTGGCGAGCCCAGACACGCATCACACTTATCCATCACCTCAACGACAGAACCCTGGGAAGCAACACTACGCACGGAAACGTGCCGATATACTTGAACACCTATACACGTACGGATTACAACATACACCACTATGTGACGACCAGCAAAGGAGGACCGAAATGGTCTGATGTCATCCAACGTGCAACGATTAAACTGGATACCAACGCGATTATTCATGATATCGCAGTAGCCGATCAACCAACGGGATATGATTGGCATGCGCCACTACCTGCAGGGGTTGCCAACATCAGTACACGGATGTACTGGCAGCCCGAGGAACCGGTCATGGTCGGAAACGAGCCTACTCAATCACCACAGAAACCCAGACGCGTCATCATAGATGACTGTCCTTCTCCCCTCCCGACTCTGGCGGTTGACGCAGGCACCCTCTCATCAACGACGATGGGCACACAGACCGGTGAACAAGACGAGCAAGTCTTACCTACGGAGTCGCGAATCAAACAGAAGGAAAGGCTCAAAGCCGAAAGGAGGCAGGCATCAAGCCTCGCCGCATCAAAAAACACGTTGAAGATGGAAACGATGATTGCGGTGACGACTTGTCAGGACTCGGACAGGATGTATGGCGACCTGGAGCACTGACGTCCTTGTCGAGCTGATTAGCTCAGATGAGGAAGATGACGTGTTCCTTACCCTCCCCACATCTATGCCCGACGCACACGCGGACATATACAGCATGGTGG